ATCTCTAACAATATTTGCCAATCCTTGTCTAATCCATTCGATTTCATTTGTGCCAGAAGGAGGGTTTGAAAATTTAAAAACAGTTTTAGTCCCGTAAATTCTAAACTTATTTACATACGTTTGGTCTGTGCTTATTAAGGTTACAGGTTCCAGACCATCATTTACATTAGATTCAGGACCGTTTACAAGCTCATCTTCGTTTTCAAAATCAAAGGCACTATCTACAAGTGAACATTCAGACAAATCATCAGAATCAAAAACACTATCTACATACGAACCCTCAGACAAATCATCTGAATCATATTCCATAGCACTTACAATTGATTACACAAAAAAAACGCTCAATACTCTACAACCCTACAATATCCCACACCCTACAACTAAACACACAAAAAACTATAAAAATCACTAAAATCCCGATAAAGACACTGAAAAATATCCTACAATAAAAACAAAATGTATATTCTATATACACAATACAGCTCACACTACAATACTCTCCAATATAGTATCCAACAATAACCAACAATTTATGAGGCTAACAAAGACCCAGTGCTCACCAACCTACAGCAGAAACACGACTAACTCAACTAGTTACCTACCAATACACTTTACGCATGCGCACCTAACCGCAACTTTAATTAAACACATAATAATTACCTCCTACTCTCCTAACCCATTAACCGTCAAAACCACCACCCGCCATCATCAATAATAGCCAGCCACACGCGTCTCTAGAAAAACAGTCGTTATTCACTGTCGCCTTAATTACCGCGCGCGCCACCATCAACGACACCGCCGCCAAAAACGCCGCCATTACCAAACGCGGCCTCCTATTGGCCCGGGGGCGGTCTCTATGGATAGAGGAAATACACCTGAATACATACAATACATTAAAAGGGGCGTGGCTTATCAAATACTCGATTCTGATTGGTTTCTGCTATACTCCGGCTTCCACTACTATCGTAGGACTTCGTCTGGGATGACCATTCAGGGATGTACCCATTTGAGGATCTTCGACAGCATCTTCGGCTAAACCACTTGAGTTCTCGAAGGCGTATTGCTGACCTGGTTTTCCTGAGGAAGATTCTCATTGCAGAACTGACTCTCCTGAGCTGCTGAGCAGGGTACATTTTCGCTGCTCCAGACCATCCTGATCCCAGGACCTGTTTGAAAGGGGATGTCATTCTACAACATAGGCCTATAACAGCACGCTACCAAGACTACATCGTTTGGGAAACAGTATTTCTAAAAATCTCGAATTTTTCTCCTCAAGTTTAATTACTTTCAGGAAATAGCTGCTTGCTTGTTTTTCATAATCCTTGGTGCATTATACAGTAGAGTGGTCCTATGATCCAGTTTGTTATTGCATTTCTTGTTTGCTTTCATATTTATTAAAATATTGATGCATGTTGATAGAATTTCTAAATGTTATGACTTTTTTATTCAATTCTTGTTAAGTTTGTTATACATTTATTGTTGTTGATAATTGTTTTGCTTGTTAATACTATTGTTGGTTATATATGATCCTTGTTGTTAAGTTCCGTTACGTATGTTATATGTTATACAATGAGATGAACTGGTGTTGACCGTTAATTATTAAATAAATAAGCAAAACTATAAAATTGTATAACTTTTGACCCACTTGTCCTTTTAAAGTGCAGTTTGAGGTAACGTGTTCTACAGGTAAATCTCTTTAATTTGATATGCATCATGGCCTATGCTTTTATTTAAGATTTTGAACTTACTCCTTGTGGGCCGACCCCCCTTGGGGGAAAAAAGTCAAGAAGTACTTTAAAAAAATACTATTTTAGGTCCGATATTGATGTGTGAAGTTGCAGTCGTCTGACGCAATAGATGCAGAAAAAACAAAGCGCGGGGACTTTTAAGAAACACGGACCTATTGCATACAGAAATTAAAGAAACTTATAACTTTAAAGGTTTCTATCTTCCGAACTATTTAAGTTAATTTAGAGATTTTCATCTAATTTTGTAGCAAATTTAATTACGAATAAAATATATCATAATAACAGAAACGTACCATTGACCGTTTGGGTGATGTATAGCAAAAACTACATGTAGCGTAGAGGAATATATCGAATTTTCTACTTTAACTGTTTATATCTTTAAGACTATTTAAGTTATAAAAGTGGTTTTTATCTCATTTTATAGCAAATTTAATTGTGAACAAAACATATTGTATACAAAATGGCGTAAATATGTCCTTTTGGGTGATATTAGGCCATTTTCAATGAATAGTTCAATTCCTCTAAAGAAAACAAAGATGGCGTCGTATTTCAAGATGGCGGACATAAAAATCGGGCACCCCCCCATAAATTGTTTGTATTTAGGGTATGGAAGAAATGTGCAAAAGCTGCAGCTTTAATCCATCAGGTCACGATCATTTTGCTAAGCCACCACACTATTGGTGGTGTTCTATGACTTTCCTATGTTTCCATAGTTTGCAAATCGTCTCTGTCAATGATTACTAAGAAATGCAGCACAGTGTTAATTCAGTTTTCTTTTTAGTATATCAATTTATCCAGGCTCTCTCGTTTTTCCCCATTGTAATAATTACGCCAACCCAAATTCAAATAGTAACTATTTCATTTCAACCGAGTAAGTAAATGTTTGTGGCAAACTAACTGTTAAATTAGCAAACTTATTGACTGTTTACAATTAACATATGTTCTTCTTATCACTTTTAATTTCTGACAACAGCTGGAGTTTCATAACAAAATTTGTTTCCCATGTTAATCTTATGGAAAAATACGAAACTTTAAAGGGCCCCAGGGCCTCACCCTCTAATTATTTCCCTAAAAAGAAGGTTTCCTGCACAACTTCACGTTACGCTCTTTCCAATGACACCAAGAACATGTAAATCGGTTCAGTAGTTTCGGAGGAGTAATTGTCACAAAAAACCTGCTTGCGTATTAAATAAGTATAGATTTCTATAACCATTGAAATAGTTTAGAAAAACATAATCCATGATCAAGGATTACATTAATTGAGTCTACCACATAGTTGTGTAAAATATTATTTTTATTTTCTTTGGATCAGCTGTCTGAAATTGTGAAATAAGCGATTTGGCAGTTTTTCTAACGAGACTCTCCCGATCGTAACACCACCCTCCACCGCACCATACCGTACGCTTTCGAATCATACCGGCGCATCAGCATAGCCTAACTGTTCACGGCAAATTGTTATCTCTATCACTGTGACTGTTAATAAGTATCGTTTGTAGGTTAAATTAAAATTAAATATAATTAAACTGTCATAACCTAACCAAACTTGCTGATAATTAAAAATTTGAATGAAAGTTGAATAATAAAAAAAATAGTTCTGTTCTAAAAATAAAATTATAAATGTCTCAAATTCAATTTTATAATTATAAAATTAAACTGTCATAACCTAACCAAACCAACCTAACTTGCTGATATGAAAAAAAATTTTGATAAAAATTAAGTGCTACCAGCGAGATTCGAAACCGGCGGAACCGGCACCTTCGGATTATCAGCCCGACACGCTATCCACTACCATCGATGTATATAACCTAACCTTAGAGTTAGGATTAAGGTTAGGTTATATACATCGATGTCCACTACACCACCAAAGCTCATGGCTTGCGGTAATGGTATTCCCTCAAGAGAAGAGACTGACGTCACGCCATCGGCACGGCGCGGTGGTGGGGGGTGTTACGATCGGGAGACGTTTTAGTTTTTCTGGTTTGAATTAAAATATCAAAGCAAATTTAAACGTTGTGATTGTTTTCATTACAACCATGGAGACCAATCAATATTTTTACTTTTAAAATCCTCACCTCATAACATTATTTTATTTCAATGAACCAAACCACATAGATATACGTTACTAGCTGGCCCGACAGACGTCGTCCTGTCCTATTGTGGTTTTATGTCACATGCTCGTTCATTTTCAAGATGAGCTCGTTCGCATGGCTCAATCACGTCCTGGTTGAAGTTCGTTCGCTACGCTCACTCACCTTTAGGTTGGAGCTCGTTCGCTGCGCTCACTTGCCTTCAGGTTAGCTCGTTCGCTACGCTAACTCGCCTCCAGGTTGAAGTTCGTTCGCTACGCTCACTCACCTTTTGGTTGCAATTTAGCTGTTCTCATAAATTAAAAATAAAAATAGTGCTGCACCCTGTTGGTAAACCTATTAACTGTTTAATGCTATTGAACATCACAGAATCAAATTGTTTAGTTGCACCAGCTGTTAAGATTCTTTAATTCTATTTAAATATGTGTACTCATAAGGTTAACATGGGAAACTCCAGAGCCACTGGGGCGGAGCCCTATTGACGGATCTGCACCAAACTTCACACAAACCATCCTTGAATAATGCTTAATAATGCCTGAAAGTTTCATTACAATCTGTCGAGCGGTTTTGGAGTCCATAAAGGACAAACATACACATATACAAACATACAAATATACAAACATACATTGGATTTTATATATATAGAAGATTAGTAATTTATTATTGAAATTCTACTATTTTTCCACAGAGTTTTGTTGCAAGTTAGTTCAAATTAGATGTTGTCATAAATGTAAAAAAATATAGTATTGCACCCTGTTGGTAAACCTTATAACTTTTTAATGGTATTTAATATCATTGAACCAACTTGTGTAGTTGAAACAACTGATCCAATTCTTTTATTCCTTTTAAATATGATTACTCATTAATTTAACATGGGAAACTCCAGAGCCACTGGGGCGGAGCCCGAAATGGCTTTTGAGATAAGAATGCAGCTATATATATGTTAATCGGGAATGTGACCTATCATCACACCAAATTTCAGCCTAATCCGACCAGTATTTTTTGCGTTTCCTTGTCACAAACATTCTCATTTATAATATTAGTAGGATTCTGCACGTCTACAGGAAAATACCTGTCTTGCAATATGCGTAGATTTTAGTATTCGTTAGATTAGGTTAGAAGAAAGCTAATAGTTTAATGAGATATTGAAAAAAATAGGCGTACAATCTATGAAAAAAGACACTTATTTACAGTCATTAACGGGCCCTCCACATATTACGTAACACAATTATAAGGTCTCTCTCCCATATGAACTAATAAATGTTTCTTCATATTGCTTTTGGTTGTAAAGAATTTTCCACATGTAGAACACTTGTAAGGTCTCTCTCCTGTATGAACCAATGAATGTCTCTTCATATTGCTTTTTTTTGAAAAGATTTTTCCACATATAGAGCACTTGTAAGGGCTCTCTTCTGTATGACACAATGAATGCATCTTCATGTCGCCTTTGGATTTATAGGATTTTCCACAAGTAGAGCACTTGTAAGGTCTCTCTTCTGTATGAACCAATAAGTGTCTCTTCATGTCGCCTTTGGATGTAAAGGATGATCCACATGTAAAACAATTATAAGGTCTCTCTCCTGTATGAACCAATGAATGTCTCTTTATATGGCTTTTTTTTGTAAAGAATTTTCCACATATAGAGCACTTGTAAGGGCACTCTTCTGTATGACACAATGAATGCACCTTCATAGCGCTTTTGGATTTATAGGATTTTCCACATGCAGAGCACTTGTAAGGTCTCTCTTCTGTATGAACCAATGAATGTTTCTTCATATCACCTTTGGATGTAAAGGATTTTTCACATTTAGAGCACTTATAAGGTCTCTCTCCCGTATGAACCAATGAATGTGTCTTCATCGCGGTGTTAGATATATAGGTTTTTCCACATGTAGAGCACTTGTAAGGTCTCTCTCCTGTATGAACTAGTGTGTGTGTCTTCATATAGTATTTGGATATAAAGGATTTTCCACATGTTGGGCACTTATAATGATCTTTCCCAAAATGTATCATCAAATGTGTTTTTACATGTTGTTTTTGGAAAAAGGTTTTTCCACATGCCAAACATTTAAAGGGACGCTCTCCGGTGTGATATAATATATGAGCCTTCATTGCGGATTGACTTGAACAACTTTCCACACATATTGGACACTTAAGAGGAAAAGTTTTGAAGCAAGTTAACATTTCTATTCTTGCACTTTTTATTTCTATAAATCTTATCACATAAGCTAGTAACTATTTAGAAAAGGTCATAGATTCTTACGTAACTAAAAAGTATGCCTTTTTAAGAGGCTAGTAGTTACATGATGCTACCTCTCTCACTGGACATTGAATCACCTCATAGTCAAATCTTGCAATGCATATTAGGTATTTTACAATATACTTGAGGGATTTTCCTTTTTATCTTGTCTTCTTTATTCTTCTTTTGTATTAAATAACTTCTTAAATCAATTTAATATGTTGCTTTAATTCTTTTTTTGTCTCAACCTAAAACAAAAATGTTTATTGAAACTCAAATTCTAGTTCAACAAAACAAATTGTTGAATTTAACTTGTGTAGGATATTTGGAGTGGTTCTTCAAAGAATTACATCAGGGATTATATCAATTAATTAGTTTTTAAAGTGATTAAACTATATTCTCCTCTCTTTTGTCTGAACTCAACTGTCTTCTTTTCTGAGAAAGATCATATCTTATTAAAACCATTTATTAATTAAAATGGGTTAAATAATAAATTTACAATATTTTAATTTCTACAATCATGAGAATATCATAATGATTTTGGGGCTTTACTGTTATTCTCAATATTGAAAAAAATCCCACTAACCAATAACACCTCAAATCCGAACACCGCTTAATATGAATCACCTGTTGCAGAGAAAACTTTGCTGTATTTAAAATAAAATTAAAATAAAAACAACACAAATAGGTGCCCTAGAGAAAGTACTCCCCGGTCCGTATCACTCCGCTATTTTTCCTCGGAAAGAAATGTGCTCCGCGACTTGAGAAAATAGTTCCGTATATTTTTGTAATTTGCACTGGTTTCCATGCCTAAAAAATGCTTTAAAGGTATTTTCTTGTTTATGAAGATCGTAGGAATGTTTTAAAAAAGTTTAAAAGAAAAGTCCAGAAAGTTCAGAAATACCGAAAAGAGAACATCAACTATAAACACAAAATGAAAGGTTAAATCGTAGTTATAATAGTCAAACAGCTGCTCATAGTATTATTATCTTAAAGTGTTGCCAACCTATTTCCAAGCGTACACGGATTACGTGCATAATAGAACCACACTGTTTTGTGTTGTTTCGTTGGAATTCTGATGTGCGCCAAAGTATAAACCGTACGACAAAGTATAAATATGCAGCAATTAGCAGCTTTCTGTACTATAAACAGTACAAGGAAGCCAACTTTGTACGGTGACTGTAGGAAAAAATATTTTATTTATGAACCGATTTTGATGATGTAGTTGTCAAAATTAAAGAAAATTCTCTGTAGAAGTCATGGAATAATTTGTGTCACGCTCAGTTCTATGTGCTTCACTCGATTGGATTTTAAAGTTTCCATCTTATATATTAAAAAACTTGGTTTTTCTTTACCGAGTTAGTTTGTCTCTTCTATCCGACCGATTTTCATGATTGAGGTCTCAAATTGAAGGTATGCACGCACAGATTTGCCATCAAGCATCGGCATATATTTATCTATAACCCCACTCTGTTTATACGTAAACTAAATTTGTTCCCCATGTACTTCTTATGGGAGTTAAATTAAGCTTTTCTTTGCCGAGTTCGATTGGCTCTTCTACCCGACCGATTTTCATGATTGAGGTCTCAAATTAAAGTCATGCACGTAAAGATTTCACATCAAGCATCGACATATATTAACCTACTGTATTATTTGACCAAAAACATAATTCCTTCAGTGAAATACCTGATTTCATTTAAGCTATTAGTTATTTAAATCGGACGAGTTTCAAGCAAACGCAGGAAGAAAAACCAATATAAAAATTTTTTCTGTAAGGTTCTATGGCTAAAAATTAATATCTCCAATATTGATCGTGTTTTTTATTATACGTTTTTATTTGTTTTATACTCAAAATAATCAGTAAATTGCAAGCTTTGATTTGAGCTATTGATCGTGTGTGAATCAGTATCAAGATACTGTATTAATAAATCAAAAATCTTAAATTTTATTATTTCTCGGATATTATATTTATTTTAACGCTGCGGAGCAGCATGGGTCCTCTAGTTTATTTTTAAAGAAAAAGTCAAAATTTAATTGGTTTAGGTACCTAACATGATTAATTTCTTTAAAAAACAGCTGTCTTCATAAAATTGCCCTTTTCTCTTCTGTATTTTTTTTCCAATATTTACTTTTTCTGTTTATTTATTAGTTTACTTTCAAAATACAATGCTGACTGATGAAATAGGATAGTTTATTCATGCAGTTTCATCTTGAGTGTTAGGGACTATTCAATTTATTTCATTACTAGCTGTACCCGCGGGCTTTGCCCCGTTTTTCTTCATAAGTGAGCTCGATCGCATGGCTCAATCACGTCCTGGTTGAAGTTCGTTCGCTACGCTCACTCACCTTTAGGTTGGAGCTCGTTCGCTGCGCTCACTTGCCTTCAGGTTAGCTCGTTCGCTACGCTAACTTGCCTCCAGGATGGAGTTAGTTCGCTACGCTCACTCACCTTTTGGTTGCAAATTAGCTGTTGTCATAAATTAAAAAAAAATAATAGTGCTGCACCCTGTTGGTAATCCTTGTAAGTTTTTAATGCTTTTGCATATCATAGAACCAACTTTTTAGTTGAAACAGCTGACTAAATTATTTAATTCCCTTTTAATATGAATACTCATAAGGTTAACATGGGGAACTATAGAGCCACTGGGGCGGAGCCCGAAAGGATTTTTGAGATAAGAATATGCCTATATGTTAATCGGGAATGTGAGCTATCATCATGCCGAATTTCAGCAAAATCCGTCCAGTGGTTAATGCGTTCACTTGTCACAAACATACATCCATACATCCATACATCCAAACTTTCTCATTTATAATATTAGTAGGAAGTAGGATATTGTATTCTATTTTTAGATATGGTGGATATGGTGTGCTTAACGTTTTCATAGATATTTTTATGTGTTGTGTTTTCAATTTTTAATTTGGGTTATAATAAAATGCCACAGAGATGAAACAATCCAGTGTTTGCAAATTTTCAACTTAACAAGAGAGATTGTATGAGAAAAAATTGTGAAAATTGAAATAAATGTTATGAAACCACGTGATAATTATATATAGTGCACGGACAGATGCTGTCACAACAGACTTTTTTGACTTAGGAAATCTTAACGAGGACGAGGAATGTGCTTACTGTAATGCCAAACTGTTTATTTGTGAAACTAATAAAACTTCCCTGTATTGCCATAATGGAAGTCTTATTATTGAAACACTAAAATGTCATCCTAATTTATGGGTCTTGATTGTAAGTTGTAACCAACATTGCATGAACAATATATGAGGTCACAACAGTGCTATGTATTTCGCTTCTTTTGGAGCAAACATTGGTCTTCCACCTGGGCTTCCTTACTGCTTCACAATACACGGTCTGCAGTTTACCATAGAAGTGGGGGACTTACCTACGGCGCCACCCCTTTGTGTTTTGCGAAAAAGGAAAAGGTTTCAACATAAAAAAGATATTCAATTGCCCGTTTTTGGCAAGCTTACAAATGCATTTTTCCAAGAGAGGCATTGTACAATATGAGTACAATTATATTCAAGTTGTATTTTAGGTTTTAAGAAAAACATATTTTGAGGTTGAGATAAGAATAAATATGAATAGCCTAAATTAATCGCCGGATGCATTGGCGTTCTTGACGATATTCAATTGAAATGTATTCAGTTTAAATTGGTTAAAATTTAGATATTTTTATTGTAATAATATCATTATAATAATGTTATTGATAATATAGAACTATATCAAATAAATAAAAATAAATGAATAAATAAAACTTTCATTCATGAGCAAATTTCAGTTACAAAACCATTATACAAATTGACTCAAGTCAGGATCTAAACTAAACAAAACTTCTTATAACTACGAAACAAAATAAGATTAGTTACAAACTCTTTAAACGATTCTAAAAATTTGTGTAAAATTTTTGCTTTGACAAAGTGCATAGCAGAACAATTTTCAGGGTTTAGCATTAACCCATGATCCTTAGACCATTCACAAACCTTTAAAAGGTACTACTACGCTGTAATGCTTCCCCAACAAAAGTAGGCTGGTATGATAAATAGAGTTGCCAGTTGTCAGCATAAAGCCCCGTTTCCATCAAACATTTTCTGCTCAAAATATTGTTGTCAGCTAAACTCACAACAATAATGGAGTAAAAAGGTAAATGGAAACACTCGCAAAATGTTTTGAGCAGTGTTGGCAAACAAAACGCGTTGGCAGCCGTTGCAGCTCACAACCCTCAAAAGGTAATGGAAACTGTGTCCAGCTGCCAACATTGTTGCGAGCAGAACTCAGAGAAGTGCGTATGCGCACTTGCTCTGTGAGTAGTTCCAGCAGACGCCGCACATTCGCCGCAGCACCATTACCATTGCTCTAGCAGACGGGTTAAACACCCCGTGTTATTGTTATTAGTTTTGATCTAGATTTATGACGTATTAATTGTGTTTAAAAAGAAAAAACTGAATAAGTCCATATTATTGACTGTAAGAAAAGTCTACCCCAAACAAACGGTTGACTTTACTTACAGTTGGCAATAACAACCGAATGAAAATATTGATCGATATATCGATTATTCGATTGTTTCATTCGATATATCGTTTGTTTAGTTGTTAGCCTAACCTAACCAACCAAACGATATCAAATGAAATAATCAATATATGGAAATAATGGATAGGCCTATATCAATCAATATTTTCATTCGGTTGTTATTGCCAACAGTAAGTAAAGTCTACAGGTTTGTAACTTACATAATTTCCATTTACATAGGTAGGCCTAGATCAATAGGCCTATTTTTACCGTATTGTTTGTTAACTTCTCTATGTTCATAAGAACATTTAACATAGTAGATAAGTTATCAGGGAACTCAAACATTTCCAACATGAATCATTCTTAAAATCCAAATGGTAGGCTAACTCAAGTTAACAATTTGCTGACAATAATAAAACAACATTTTAACCTCTAACAGTCATATTATTTAAGTTATCATCCTCAATGGGGTAAATATTTACCCTACTTACACTGGGATATGATGTAATTTTGATATGTCTACTTACAGTATTTTTTACGCTGAATCCAAAAATGCAATCAGTTTTGGTCGGAGAGATCCTAAGTGGCCGTACAGTTAAATAATTAATATTAAGCTTAAGTTTTGTTGATTTATTAACATATCTGTGGTATGGACGAGTCCAAGTTCTAGTGGCGACTAACACTAAAAGGGATGAAAGGTTTGTGGAGTGTAAACAGCTGTCAGTTATTTACATTCGATACAAATAGACAAAACCACGTACGACGCCATGAGAGCAAAATCAGAGTTACAATATGCAATAAATAGATTTTTAAAAGAAAATGGACTTTGGTACTGTTTAGAAAATACAATAAATCAACTACGATACATAAACTATTAATCACATGAACATCTATAAGTATAAAAGAGGATGTTTGTATATATATATATATATACTAGCAGAGTACCCGTCCTTCGTACGGGGTAGGAATATAAGTATAAAATGCTTAGTGCAGTTATACTCAAGCTTTGCGTTTGCAATAAGGGAGGACACAGTTTGATAAAATTTGCTTTTTTAAATTTACAGTATTCTATAGGCCTAGTATTACCGTATTACACATCTACCATAGCCATAATGTTCTACCACTTGACCTAAACAATAGAGAAATAGCTATTTACCTTACAAGTGTAGTTAGAGCGTTTTTACATCACGAAGGTGAAGGTTGTGCAACGAGCGGAAGCGAGTTGCAAAATTTATTTAAGTGATATAAACACGCTCTTGGGTAACGTGTAACGTACAAGATTTTACCTGACCCGACAATATACAGGAGGTTACGAACAATATTAATCATTATCCATTTCACTCATCTTCTAATAGTAACGTTCATTTACAAAAAAAAAGCTAGGTTAGGAAAATTCTTCAAAACATAACAATAAAATTCAAGAGCACAGCTGATTTCAAGCGTTGAACGTAGTTGGCTCCATAGAGGTATATTTTTTAAGTTAATCACTCAATGTTATTTAAATGGGTTTCATTACATCACCGAGTGAGTTTTTGATACTTTACATCACTCGAGAAGTAAGGAAGTTGTATACATCACGCTTGGGATAGGGAAGTTTAACATGGCGGGTTAGGTAAAATAAATTATCAACAATTCGCAAAATATCACAAATTATTCATGAAATGAAAAACATAAACACAACTGTAAACAATCCTACTTTGACAGTTCTCATTGCGAATCACAGTATTTTTGTTGCTGCTTAGTTCAAATTAGCTGTTTTCATAGGCCTAAATGCAAAAAAAATATAGTGCTGCACCCTGTTGGTAAATCTTATAACTTTTTAATGCTTTTCCATATCATAGAAACAACTTTTTTAGTTGAAACAGCTGACTAAATTCTTTAATTCCCTTTAAATATGAATACTCATAAGGTTAACATGGGGAATTACAGAGCCACTGGGGCGGAGCCCGAAAGAATTTTTGAGATAAGAATATGCCTATATGTTAATCGGGAATGTAAGCTATCATCATGCCAAATTTCAGCCCAATCCGTCCAGTGGTTTATGCGTGATTGAACTTCAAACACACAAACAAACACACAAACTTTCACATTTATAATATTAGTAAGATAAGATATACAGGGTGTTGAAAATATCTGGAACCAACATTATATCTCGTGAGTGGTTGAAGAAAAACAACTGATATTTTGTGTACGGATATACTATGGTTTTACCTATCTTTTGGTGCCTTATGAAAATTTTTACCACTTATAAGGAACGTCCTGTGGAGGATGCAGTAAAAGGTTTTAATGGAAGCCTATGGTAAATGATACATCATTTTAAAGGCCATTTTTTTCTTAGTAGGGAGCCACAAGTTTCATCTCAAAAGGACCACCCTAGCGAAAATGGCGACTGTTTGAAATTTAAAAAACCACTTATAGGGAACGTTATGTGGAGGATACAGTAAAAAGTTTTAATGGAAGCCTATGGTAAATGATACATCATTTTAAAGGCCATTCTTTTCTGAGTACGGAGCCACAAGTTTCATCTCAAAAGGACCACCCTAGCGAAAATGGTGACTGTTTGAAATTTAAATATTAAGTTCCCTATAAGGGGTTTTTAAAATTTCAAACAGTCGCCATTTTTGCTTCGGTGGTCCTTTTGAAATTAAACTTGTGGCTCCTTACTCAGAAAAAAATGGCCTTTAAAATGATGTATCATTCACCATAGGCTTCCATTTAAACTTTTTACTGCATCCTCCACAGGACGTTCCCTATAAGTGGTAAACATTTTCATAAGGCACCAAAAGATAGGTAAAACCATAGTATATCCGTACACAAAATATCAGTTATTTTTCTTTAACCACTCACGAGATATAATGTTGGTTCCAGACATTTTCAACACCCTGTATATATTTGGCAGTGATAAACTCAGACACCGCTGCACCGATTGCCACGAAACTTGGTACATACGTGTAGAATTTCATGGAATAGGTCTATACACCATCAATTTCGTGATCCGTCCAATCGGCTCCGCCCCAGTGGCTCTGGAGTTTCCCATGTTGACCTTATGAGAAATGGAATTAATGAATCTTAACAGCTGTTTCAATTAAACAAGTTGGTTCTGTTCTATGATGTTCAATAGCATTAAAGTTACAAGGATTACCAACAGAGTGCAGCACTATTATTTCTTTTAAATATTTTATGACAACAGCTAATTTGCAACCAAAAGGTGAGTGAGCATAGCGAACGAACTTCAACCTGGAGGCGAGTTAGCGTAGTGAACGAGCTAACCTGAAGGCAAGTGAGCGCAGCGAACGAGCTCCAACCTAAAGGTGAGTGAGCGTAGCGAACGAACTTCAACCAGGACGTGATTAAGCCATGCAAACGAGATCATCTTGAAAATTAAGAAGCTAAACGGGGCAAAGCCCGCGGGTTACAGCTAGTAAATTATAAAACAAAATAGAATTTATTCACGTAAAATAACAGTTATAGAAGCTAGGCCACTGCCGACATGATCATCGTCCTCATTCCAATCCTCAACCATTGACTAATAAATGCCTCAACGTCTGTTAATGAACGTGCCATAGTGCATAATCCCATAGTACATAATCCCATTGTGTCTAAAAGCTAAAACGTGCCAGAGTGCATAATTTACTTAATGTATCAGCAACTAATAAATTATAGGACATAATCTAATCTAATCTAACCTAACCCAACCCAACCTTTTAATTTTTAAATCACATTTTATGTCAAGAAAAGGCATGTGAGGAAGATAGGTCGGACTTTATGCGGATTCGAGACTGTATTAAGTCCTTTGAAGTGAGGTTAGATTAGGTAAGTTAAAGGTTAGGTTGGTATCCTTAGATTCGTAATCCTAACCTTCGTTTTACGGCGACTACGGCCACTTAGGAATCTCTCTGACAAAAACTCATTGCATTTTTGGATTCAGCGTTAAAAATACTGTAAGTTGACATATAAAAATTACATCATATCCCAATGTAAATACAGTTAATAAATATTTGCCCTCACCGGTATGGTAAATTTATCGACCTCCAGTCAACGTTCTAGGCCTAAAAAAAAGTATTTTTTTCCAAAATGTTTGTTTTTTAGTGCTGATTCCAAAAATGATATTCATTTTTTGCGGAAACGTCCCGTTTTCCCAGAAAATGGGAAAAACGGGAAAATTATTTTTTTGCCCAATACCCATGTTGTGGGTACTCAAATTGTGCGGAATTTCCTCCTGAACAAGAATATGTAATTTTTACTACGATCGGACCACTATTAAGTAAAATATCACCGGAGAAGCGGCCGCTGGCTACTTATATACCCTGCTGCCGCATAGCGCTAGCATTGCGGATGACTCTAAGCCATTGTAGAATGCGGGCTTTATTTTGGGTTAGGATTGGTTAGGTTAAGTTTGGTAAGGTTAGGTTAAGTTAGGTTATGTTTGGTTAAGTTAAGTTGAGTTTGGTTTGGTTAGGTTAGTTTAGGTTAGGTTGAGTTTGGTTAGGTTAGGTTAGGTTAGGTTAGTTATATTTATGTTAGGTTAGTTTAGGTTAGGATAAGTTTATTTAGGTTAGTTTATCAATAACATGAGTAATTAAGTAAACGAACCTAACCAAACTTCCTAACCAAACTTAACCTAACCTAACCAAACTTAACCTAACCAAACTTAACCTAACCTAAACTTACCTAACATAACTAAGCCTAACCTAACCTAACCAAACTCAACCTAACCTAAACTAACCTAACCAAACCAAACTCAACCTAACCTAACCTAACCTAACTCAACCTAACCTAACCTAAACTAACCTAACCAAACCAAACTCAACCTAACCTAACCTAACCAAACCTAACCTAACCTAACCAAACTTAACCTAACCTAACCAAACTTAACCTAACCTAACCAAACTTAACCTAACCAATCCTAACCCAAAATAAAGCCCGCATTCTACAATGGCTTAGAGTCACCCACTATGCGGTAGCAGGGTAACTTAAATAAGTAGCCAGCGGCCGCTTTTCCGGTGATATTTTACTTAATAGTGGTCCGATCTTAATAAATATTACATAGGTATTCTTGTTCAGGAGGAAATTCCGCACAATTTGAGTAGGCTACCCACAACATGGGTTTTGAAAAACTAACCCTAAAACTAAACTTTTTGAAAAAACGATTTTTCCCGTTTTTCCCATTTTCCGGGAAAACGGGACGTTTCCGCAAAAAATGAATATCATTTTTGGAATCAGCTCTAAAAAACAAACATTTTGGGGAAACATTTTTTTTTTTTTTAGAACGTTGACTGGAGGTCGATAGTTTTACCAATGGGGTAAATAGGACTGTCCTTTTCTTTTGTAATGTATTTTGTAATTTACTAGCTTACTGTAAGTTAAGCTTATAATGGTTTGTGCTAACCAATGTTCAGCCATTAAGTTACACAGTTACAGTAATGCTTTATCTGAATTTGCATACTAAGGTCTGACCTCAAAGAGCTAAGGTCGATAAGTAGCTACTTAATAAAATACACTTAATTTAGGCTACCTGATTAATGTAGGCCTAATCAACATAGGATGCAACACTGAGAACTCTTCCTCTACAGGTAATGCAACTTGAAACCTGTAAAGACAATTCTGTGAATAGCTTTTTTGGTTAGGTAGGTACACAAGCTGCAAATTAAGTTAATTATTACAGGCCTATACAAAGTTTCATAAAATTTGGTCTGTAAACCATATTATGGAACTAAGCTAGGTAACCTAGCCTAGCCTATGTTACTTGAAGTTTGACTATAACTGGTACCTACAAATCCTTTATTCAATAGCAGCAAGTGTGGATTGAAATATGTAGGCCTAAAGGTTAATTAATTGGTGGGACCACAATATATCAAAAATTTGACTTCTGTGAGGTTGGACAAAAACAAAACAAAATTTTCTGTAGGTCCACATAGCTTAAACTTACTATTAATAATACAGGCAAGTCATGTCCTCAACCTTAAAATTGGACTGGCCAAAACAAACTGCCTGTTGAACTAACAGTGCTAGAGGAAAGATAAACTGCTTAAAATCCAGCTAAAACCTATGCTAAGTAGCAGGAAAATTGTTCTTTTCAAAGTTTTTTTCGGGTGTATTGGTTTTAACTGCAAATTTATGGGGTAAAGAAGCTAAAACAAACAAGGTGTTGTGTTAGTTAACCTCAAAAGAAAAGAAACTGATTTAAACAATTGACATGATAATAGATAAAATCTTTTCTTTTTTCCCCTCTGCTGGTTTGCTTAGCAGGCTTCGGTTTAGACCAGGGAGCCTCGATGTACACCGAGTTGTGGTTGCTTCCAATTCATCCTGCAGTTAAGGTTATTTCTGTTAGTTTACACAGATTTTTTATTAAACATCAATGTGCACAGTCAATGTTTCATGTTGATATTGCTCTAGTTTGTGTTAATGTACCTAATTATGTATTAAAGATAGGATTATCTAAAGGTTCAAGGGATTCTTTAGGATGGCAGAGATAGGTGATCTTCTTTGCCAGGGGCCCATCAGGCACACCTTCAACTACCCAGAATAGGGGAGGAGAGCCACGGATTAAGAAACCCAAGACTGGACAACATAAATGTGATTCTAATTGTGTTTGTTTCTTTGTTCTTTTAAATTTTTTTTCCTATTTCCTTCAAATAATTGGTTATTTCCTTGTTAATATGATCATTTCCAGATTTCAGGGCATCTTGTAGGTTGTTTCTATACTTTCTATACCTATGTTTCTTTTCCTATAAGATGTTTTTCTCTGAAATAATTATAATTTGGGCAGTCACGAAATAGATGCTGCAATGATTCATCTTCTCCTTAGTGCATTTCAAGCAAAGTGGGGTAAAGAAAAAGAACATGTTCTTATAGAATTGAGATGACTTATTCATTCTGGCATGGCCTAATCTAAGTTTGCATTTATTCGTTATTTCTATCCTGTTGAGTTTGTAATTACATCATTTGTAGAATTCTCTATTTCTTGTAGTCTGAGAAGGGGATGTGTACAGAATGTCTACAACATAGCTTCTCTCGCTAATCTGTCAGCTATTTCATTGATAGCAATGTCTGAATGTCCTGGAACCCAATGAAGTGCATAGAACTTCGAGCTTTTGTTTAATTCAGATAACATTTTGTCGACAACTTCATCATTTGAATGCTTAAAACTTTGACAGATTTTATTGCAGATTGTGAATCTGAAAAAATAACAATGATTTCATTATTTTTTAGAGAATTTTCACAAAATGTGATGCCTTTGTATAGTGTATAATTCTGCGCTATGATTAGTCATATACTCTGTCAACTTATTTTATCGGAATAGCACCAGTTCCATGGGTAGTTTTTGAGCCATCTGCAAAAATTTGGATGTACTGTTTAGGTTGTAGCATGTTGTATGTACCTATGTGCAATTGTTAAATGTTGGCGTTTCAACATAATGTTGATGTTTTTCGTTTGCTCTCCAATTTCTCCATTTTCAATGTAGCAGTTTATTTTGTCATCCAGCATAACTAATATATCATATTCTTTTTTGGTAAAATATTTGCGACAATTGGTCCATATAGATGGACCAGTTGGGGGCGTCTACTTAATAATCCAATAGTCAATGCTTCCACCTTCATTCATGGGCGTCCATCTTACTTTTTCAAAAGAGGGACCGTAGAATCAAGGTAGTACGGAGTTGCCTCCCTCCAATGAAATGGGTCTCCATGGGTCCCTCCCCCGATACGTTTAAAATTTAATCTAAATCTGTTATACCAATTTTTTAAATGGGGTTTACTGCCAAAATTGAACAGTTTTGTTAACATATAGCCCATATATTGTTGGACGCCCATGCCTTCATAACAGACTCTATCATGGTGGAACTTCCACCATGAGACACTATATTACTTTGGAGAGGGCAGACAGTATGACAAGGTCTATAGTCAGGTAGGTCTGTAGACAGCTGTGAGGGGTCATCTTTCTTCATGACAGGGATGGCCCGTGCAGCCTTGAGTGTGCATGGGAAACAGCCGTTACTCAAACAGATATTTATCATATTCGTGAAATCTTGGACAATTGTGTCGATAACAGCCTACAAAACAGAGCAGATGGTGCCAAAAACATCCTGGCTATTTGAGCTTTTAAAACCACTAACAAGCTTAATAATAAAATAAAGCTAGCGGTTACCTCATGCCGATGGTTTAGTCTGTAAACGGCCAAGACATCCAAGAGGGAGGCCACCAGGGGCCCCAGTGCAGTCTGCAAAACTGAAAGGAGCCACAACTTTTACCATCTAACTTATTTCGGAGAAATAGTTGTTGAATCATCAGGGGAACCTCGGTACAGTCAAAATAGGTGTAGGAGACCTGTGAGAATTAACAATGTCCCATGCTGTTTTGCAGGTGTTGGTAACCTCATCCTTAACACATTGGATTTTTTTTCTTCTTATACTTTAGAACGATATCTTTTAAGTGAGATACAAGACATGGAGTCTTTCATTCCGTTCTGAACCAGTAGACGTCTTATAAAAATCATGTAGGATACGGAAATAAGAACGCCGTTTCGACAGTTCTAGGGTGTACCAGGGGGTTTCAAGTTGGGATTTGTTACAAAATGGGGCTTGACCTTCATAGCTTTGAGAGGAAAGATTAGGTTGAAAAGAAAAATATCAAAAAAGTTGTTAGATGCTACCTCGGGTTCGGTACAAGCATCGGGGCAAGTTGAATACCATTATTTATTTATTACAATAGCGTTTACCTCTGAAATGTTTTAAAATAGAACCTTGTTAACATTACAAAATGTAGCCTATAATGTCTATGTGATACTAGATTTTAGCTTACTGTGTATTTTAAAAGGAATTCCCAAATCTTCAATTAAAAAATAATTAAGGCCTCTTCAATAAGTTCGAAGTTAAATTGACCTAGTGACACCTAAGTAAGTGCGTTGATGGTTTTTATTATTGAAACTAGGCATTCATGGGTGTACCCAGAGAGGGACAGGGGCCATTTAACATCTAACATTGATATAAATTTTTCATTCGTTTCTGGTTATTCTTCAATAAAATAAAAATTACAAAAGTATTAATAAAAAGGCCAATTTCTTGCAATATAATGTACTAGCTGGCCCGGCAGACGTCGTCCTGTCCTAATGTGGTTTTATGTCAAATGCTCGTTCATTTTCAAGATAAGCTCGTTCGCATGGCTCAATCACGTCCTGGTAAACCTCTTTTAGCGAATTTCCCATATAGGGAATAAGCTATTACCATAGTACTCATGGTAAGACCCGGACCCGAGACCGATTTAATTTTTCATTTTGAGGTCCCTAGAGGCCAAAAACACCATCCGTTCAAATTTATATACGTTTATTCGAACGAGTTCGCGATCCAGCATAATCGGACCATGGGAACGGGGGTTTATGGGGGGTTTTATGGGGTAAAAATGGGGTTTTCCCATTTTTGAACCTAAAAACAAAAAATTTTGCTATTTCTTTCTAAACCGTTTTGTAGAGCTTAAAAAAAGAAATAATTTAGTATATTGAAGCGCTGTTGTATGCCTAACGGTCACGGAGAAAATTCAAAAATAGTGTAATTAAAAATTCCCATGTTATTCTTATGGAGAAAATGAAAATTGTTGTAGTTTACTTGTTTATGGGTATATATTGATAAAATTTGGCAAATTTATTTATTTCATCCTATACTATTGACGTATGGTCAAAAAACACTTTTTACCTTCCCCGTAGCAGCAAACCTATGCACTCATTAAATCTAATGTTATTTAAATAGGGAATAATATGTCTTATTTATGGAAATATTTTAGTAAAAATGTAATCAGACGAGTTGAAATTCGCTTAGTCTGCAGGTTTGCTGCGGCGGGGGTATTTTGTGACATTATTTTGTTTTCATTTGCCTTCAACAATAATGTAACGAAGCAAATTTCTCTTTCGGTATAATTTATCATCAGGCATTCTTCAAAATAGTTTACCATATATTTCGGGTGTTATAAATCGATGTGAAAAGTTGGGATGGACACAAAAAAATATAGTTAATGTGTATTGTAAAGCTAAACAACCTGACCGGACCCCATTGACGGACATAAAGCCACTTTATAAATTAAGACTTTATAAACGCTGGATTACCGAGCTAGGTTTGTTAATGTCTCAAAATAGTGTAAAAACGCTAATTTTGGCATATTGTTTTTAAAAATGTTCTGGGGGGACCCCGGACCCCCCCCCCCCCTGGACTGCCTCAGGCCCCCCTGTGGGCCACCACCAGCGACCCCTGTTTCAAGTACGATTACGCTCTTGCCCCCCCCCCTAGTTTTGATCCCTTGGGCATGCTTTACTCGGAGTGATTATGGTTCAATCACCTGGTTAAAAGGTTGCCGGTCCAGTCTTCAGAACAATTGTTAGCTTTTGGATGATTCGACACCGAACCCAACTGCAACTGCAATTTTAAAATAGAGCTTTTAATAAATGGTACAAGTTCAGGAAACAGACAATCCTTATCAGTATCAAAATTAAACAAGTCATCTTTCTCACCCCATTAAACACGCACCCTGCATTCGTATTCAGCATGTGTTTACGCATAGGTGTTGGTGTTACGCATTACTATCTTGCACAATTGATTGATAAATAAATTGATAGGGCCTACAGCCAATGATTTAACTCATTTAGGCTGAATTATACAACAGTAAATGAGTTAACAGGTCACTTAGTTGTTTTCAAAAGTTGTATTATTATAGTGTTTTTTTACATTGTGGTAATCTGGTAATAGGAATATGTTCGCAAAACATAGTGTAACAACTGATGTAGCTTACATAATCATTTGTGAATTTTGGCGTTTCAACCAAACTAGGTTGGTAGCAGCACAACTGCAGCCGACAAGGTAAGTCATGTGATCGAAATCATATGACTCGCCCTTGTCAGCCTGTGATTTCGCCTGACTTTCTGCTTAGCTAGTCTTGTCTATCCTTCAGTTTATTAAAATGGCCTCTTTGAAAGTATTAACTTGTTTGATTTTCTCGTTGTTTAGTTTTGTGTACGGGAATGTACCCGTGTTATTGTGGGAGTCAAGCAAAAGTGAGCGAGTTAATACATTTCCTGCGTTTCATAGGATAAGCAGTGAAGATTTCCAAAAGTGCATTCTGAAGAAGGTTCATGGGGAACAACCTGTCCCTCTCATTGCTCTCTTTGCTGAGGAACGCTTGTCTATGGAAGACTTTAGCTGGCAAGATTCTGAGGGGCATGGTTACTATCCTCGACTGAAATACATCATTGAAAATGCCGCGAATACTGAGTTTCTACCATCAGTCCAAAACCCAATCGAAGCTGCAAATACACTCTCTGAATTTGGATACTCTCTCAAAACCATAGACCACAGTGAAACAAGTAACCTGCCTGATGGATGTGGTAAAATATTGATCATCAAGCTTCAGGAAGCCAAACCAGATGAAGACAGAGCAGACATGCTCAGGAGACACGATGAAAAAATTGCAGAAGTTTACAGTCAGCTTCTGTCAAAATGCAGTCATGTGATTGGAATCATGACAGGCCAACAGCCATCATGGGTGGAACCAGAAGAAGTTACAAGACTTAGGCGTAGTGCTGATGACAACAGCACATCAGTTACCGGACCATACACTCTCTACCAAGAAGCCCGAGGAAATTCAATGTTGTATTCCAGTAAAGTTCCGAAATTGTCCATTGACGGCAAAGAAATCAGTTTTCCGAATACATCTGCAATTATTGTAAGTAAATTATTGGTGATTATTTTATAATAATAACTTAATAGTTTATGGTTTAAAGATGGATAAATTTGCATGTGTTGCTTTAGCCTAGGCCTGGTGGTTAAGGTCACAAACTTTGGTGCGGAATGGACAGGTTCGATCCCGGGACACCTATCAAACAATATGAGTTAAGACTGCTTGCCTTAAAACATTTGAATACTCCTGCTTACACTGCTGTTCTTCTTTTCCGTAGTCATCAAGATTGGGGGAGGCATCATCTTTTTCTTTTTTTCTCATTTTCTTGTTAACAGAAGATACGTGTCCGGTTACCGGAGGTGGATTAGGCGTCCGGCTGTGACGTCACCGGGATGTGGGCCCGGAACACCATTATCACAACGATACAATGTACAGCGCATTGCATGCCGTAGTGTAGTGGATAGAGTGCTCGGCTGATATGCAAGAGGTCCCTGGTTCGAATCCCATCGATAACTTTAACTCTTTGTCAAAGATTTTGCTTTGAATGCCATTTCTTTTTAACTGTAGCCTACATTTTTTGTTAAAATTTTTGGCATTTATAATTTTTTTTATGAATATAATTTAACCTTCATTTTTTCATTACTTATCAGCAAGTTTGGTTGGTTAGCTTAGGTTATGACAGTAGGCCTAACTGTCGGATGCCTAATCCACGTCTGGTTACCGGACGCGTATCCTCTGCGTTATTTGTTTTTCTGGTATTGTTGATTCTAGTTTCTTGTTTCTATTGTTTTCTGTTAAGTTAAATACGTATGTTCATCCGAGGAATTCATTTAGGCTGTAGTAGGGGCGTTTGAGGAGATAGTTCTTCAGTTGAGTAGAGCATTTTCTTGTGTCTGTAATATTTTTAAGCCGATTTTGTAGTAAAATGATTAAAATGATTTTATTGGCCATTCAGTTATATACCGGTACAAACAATAGTCTATGTCAAACAGATAATAAATAATAAACATGCCAAACTTCTTCTTGCACTCTTGACTATAACAATATTAAAAGCTGAAATGAACACATGCAGGATCTCACTCAATACAAAACATGCAAAGCAATGCATGCATACTGAAAATGAAAAAAAAATAAAAACTACATGCTGCAAGCCATGCAAGTTATAAACTTTCATCCCTCTATTATGTTCTAAGGTTACTTTCATCCCTCTATATGTTCTATAAAGATTACTGCTCTCTCTAAATCTCCACTGAAAAAGTCACTGGCGTAGAAAAAAAAAGGGAAAAAAAATTGTAGCCTACAAAGTAGTTTACTTCATATTGATCAGTGAATTTTGTAATAGGCCTAGTTTTTAGTAGAATTGTTCATTGGGAATATCGGGATATGGTATATTATTATTATTATTATTATTCTTTGTCATGAGAGCCGAAGCCCCCTGACTACATACCCGGTACCTATCGTGAGACCGGTATATGGTATAGGCCTAATGTCTTAGGAATGGTGCAATCAAACAAGAAATGAGCCATAACATAGTGACTAAGTTATAGGCTATAGAAGTTGTTTCAGCCGGCCACCTGAACATAATTTAGTTTATGCACCACACTGCTTTGTTAGGTTCTGCCTAAATAAATAAGTCCTAGGCCACATGTTTGTCTAATGTTATTGTAGACCTAAATTGAAGTCCTACCTTCGGATAACATTGGACCATTTCTTTATTGTTTAAGGGGTACAGTTCCGCAGAGAACTGACGATATATTATCGGATGATTAACTTAATGATAAATATAACTTATCGATATTTATTTTGTTCGAATTGGATTCTGAAAACATAACTTAGATAACTTATTTATTGTTATTCATCCAATAATGTATCACAGGTTCTCTGCGGAACTGTACCCTGTTTAAGTTAAATTATGTGAGAAATTGTCTTTTGATGACGACAAAGTTATCATATCTGTCCCGGTCAAGCCTATCTTTACCCAGGGTGTCTCTACTGGTCACAGATGTCCCTGTAAAGTCCCGAATTTTAGAAGAGGTTCACGGATGTCATTTGAAAGGTGTTCAACAAAGGTCACTGAAAAATTAATATCTAGATAAGCAATACGGTTGGATATTTGATATCTATGATGTAGCCTATAGGCCTACAGATATGATATACTTAGGCCTATATTTGATATTTTTTCGCTTTTGGTTAAGACAAAATCTGCAGATAAAAGGCTAGCAATAACAATTCAAAGGCTAGTGAAAATCTGTCTATAGGCTAGTGATAATGCGCAGTAGGCATATCAACTTGATACTGAAGCAGACAGTTGCCAAGGTCAATGTTTTGTTACCTATTGTTCGTATCGATCCATAATTAAATTCTAAATCAGACAACCAGCATGGATATTGCTGGCCAAAATTTATCGTTCGATTTTACTTTAAAAGTGAACTGGTCACCTTATTACCTATTTATTCAGATATGGTCTAAAGAAAAAGTAGCTAGGCCTACCGGTATCCATACGGACCTATATTTTTTATTAGGCCTAAAATAGTTGTTCGCATCAAATATATTTGTTTGTTTGTTACCATGACATAACTTATATCTATGAAATGGTTTCAGAAAAGAAATTAACCCTGCTGTAATTCATTAATCTTAGTACTCAGTAAGTACCATGTAACAAACGACAAGCCTTAAAACAGATGAGTTAATGTTAGTGTCAAGATAGTGTAATTAAGCTAATAATGTTAATAGTCATAATTAGTTAACTCATGAATAACAAATAGGCCTACACCAACAGTTCCACTAGTACCTACTAGAATTAGAGTGTTCATATTTCTTGTTGTTTACAGATAACAGTATGTACATTCCATGTGTTTTTCAGAGTGGCGACAACTCAAAAGCTAACAGTATCAAACTGTTTGTCAAATATGGTAATGAATACCGTCTCACATTCAATTTCGACAATCAAACCAGTGGCTACTGGTACTTGCGCTCAGTCGAGTTGAGCAACATTGGGCAAAATGAGAACTGGATTCTGAAGAGCAAAAATGAAATTTATGCTCCACTAGGAATGTCCTACCACACCGGATCTACTGTCACCTTTAGAAATGTTACCAAAGATAGTGTGAAGGAATTGAAATTTTCAGACTTTCAGGTTAGTAGGTAGCCTATTCTTTTTTAGTTAAATGTCTGTGGTAATAGTCAGAATTGAAATCACAACATTTTACGTCCATGTCCCTGAACTATACTGACCTAAGACTTAATTGGAGCACAAAATATGGATGCATTACACGACGTCCAATGATATAAGTCAGTGTTGAAGTATAATTCTTGAGCTGTCTTACGATGTCCAATGTATAATATTTGACTGTTGCACAATGTCCAAATCTCATCATGTCCAAAAGTACAGAAACTGCAATAAACATGATAAAAGCTGGTCCATAAGGATGATCTACAATAGGAGTACGTTAACTTTTGGCTGACGGTTTTTAAGGTTATATTAGTTTCATCACTCTAGAAATATTGTATGCAATAAATGTTAAATTAATAGGAGATATCATGGTAAAATACCAAAACATATTACATTTCATGGGAAATCAGACCATAACACATAAGAGTGTGGTAAATATATCAGTGGGCCTGGAATTTTTCCCCCTTCAAATCTTATGTTTAGTTGCCAAAAGTGAGGATCTAGGTCGGAAATAGTGGTTTTGAGAAGTTTTTCCCAATAAAAATTACGTCCAAATTTGCCAGTAACTGGGCCGGTCGGCGCAATGATATTTGTGGGCGCTGTGACGAAAATACTCTATTTTGGTCTCACTAACACTGTTTTTCACACTAAAAATGTTAAATAGCACTATAACTAATGTTTACAATTATAAACCTTCCTCCCTCCCAACCATTGTTTATTTCAATAACAGCGAATCATGGAACTGCTGATAACAATTTGGTATTGGGGAGTCCATCTTTATTAAAAAGTACATAAACTCAAATAATAACCTATAAAATATATTATCGAGTCGTATAGAAAGAAAAAACACAAAATAATGTCAATTAATATTCAAAGCCAATAAATTGTAGAAATTTACCGCCTCGGGGGATCGGCAGACGAAACACGCACAGTATAGGTGTTATGTAACACTAGAAACACACACGTAGGGGTCTCAATCCTGCGATTTCAAACATTGAGATCCCGGTCGGTTTTTGATACCTAGAAATCACGTAATTGGTGTCTTTTAATACCGGGATTAACGGAATTGCAAAATCTATGTTTATACCTATTTAATTTTTTTGTGAATCTGAGGAGATTTACTCACGAAAAATAAATAAAAATAATGCAACTGGCAATTCTTTCCATCTTAATATTTTGATTTATTTAGTTTCAATATTAATTAGTGTGACGTATAGGCTAAATGCGAGTGCGGTTGCTCTTAATTTTTGTAAATGTATTTATTAAATTCTTGAGTGACATATCAACATAAGCAGAATATGTTGCCTAAGCTATACAATGTAAATAAGAGACGTGTGATGAAAGTTCCGTGTGGTAATTAATATTTCTACAGCAAAGTTGCGCAGTGCGATACTGGTAAGGCCAGTTTAAAACATTAGAGGCCTTGACGAGGGCACTTCACGTTAATTTAAAATGGCTAAAAAGCCATAAAATAATATAATCCTGGGATTCAGTTGTGCCACACTGAGTGTTTCATTTCAGCAGGACCTGGTCAGACTCAGGTGACCAGGCCGGCCTGGGGGTGTTCGGCAGCCGGTCCTCGGTGATTGGCTCGCACTTGATGTGTTTAGTCTCTAGTATTGCATACAACATTATACATAACACAGCAAGATAACCTTCACTATAACTATTTTATGTTTTGGCAGGAACGCATTGTATATTTCCACTTAAATTCCCTTAAAATTGTGTATCGGCAGAGAAACTTAAGGTGCTTGATTTGTTTTAGGTGGAACCATTCTTCTCCAAAACAGGGTCCAAAACATTCAGCGAAGCCATGGATGAAGTGCCATTCTTCACACCGGCCATCTGGTCAGGGATATTTGTCACTTTTCTGTTGGCACTCATCTTTACCTGGGGAGTCTCCATGATCATGGACATCCGAACCATGGACCAATTCGATGATCCCAAAGGCAAGACCATAACTGTCACGGCAACTGACTAAGTGACAAACGAGTAGATTATACCTTGTCAGTATAAAACCAATGGCTTAGTAAATGTGAAAGAGGTAAAAGGTTATTGTACTTAGCAAAGTTTTGTTTTAACATAACAGACTTTTAAGTTGTATTCCAGTTTCTTTTAACGTGTTTTTATACAATTTTTTTGCTGTGGTGGATTCATGCAGAAATCTGTATTCTGAACATTTTAGAAGAAAATAAGCTGTCATTTAATGTGACAACGCTTAAGTCAAGAGCACATTCCTTTCATTGTATATTGTAATGAACCTAAACATCTTATAAGTAACGTTTTATCCTCTTTTAAATGTCGTGATTTGTAAATATTAGAAGTAGTTGAATCAATCAATACAAGCCTCGAGTTTAAGTCTACAAAGAACGAAAAGTAAATCATGCAATAACGCCAGCGCATGTGTATGATTCTGACGATGAACAAACTTATGTCAGTTTGTAGGAGAACTCGATTGTTAAAGACCTTTTAGGGTAATAAATTTGTAATATAGTTTGAAAGAATAATTATTTTATTGTGTTGAATTATTTTTTATTTTATTTCGCAAATCCATTTATGTTAATAAATTATAAAATTCTTATTCATAACAAATTGTTGTGTAACATGATTGAGTGTATCTAGAATTTTGTGTATATTAATAATTCTGTTATTTGGTGAACACTATGTTATGAAATATAGTATAAATTAATTAATTTAATTTCTCCTTTTTTTCATTCACTATTCCTGCTTTTCATCCCAAGGCCTACAATTCCACTGGTTCTACTGATAATTGATTGACATACAAGACATGACACATTCTGCAGACCCTTTAAGGATGGACAAATTGAGATAGTAATGTAATCCACATTTTTGTTATATCAGTGAAAACAGAAAACCCTCATACCAATAAAACTCCTTTTGCCAGTTCCATTAAATGTCCAAGTCATACAGCTAAAAGTTAACCCATTGACATAGGAATATTTTTTATCTTCTCTACTGATTAAATTTTGTAGATTATGTCGAATTATACCTCATATCATAAATGTATTTCAATACAATAAGTCCATATTCAACCAAAATAAAAATCCATGTCCTCCTTTTCCATAGAGGCAAAACAGGTGTTGTGTGCAATCCCTATTAGACTCACTAATGCCATTAACTTCCACCCAAGCGGAACACTATAAGGCAGTTCCTCGTACCAGCTAAGACACACATTAGTAAGCGTACCATGGAGCTGTACACATATACAGGATTTGAACACATGCATGTAGAAATAAATACCACACACAATGCTACACTCGTCAGATGAACACCTTAGCGAACTGAGCTACCAATTGCTACCATGCCACCGTTGGCCATAACCGGAACAAATACCAGTAGTACCACTATTAGTATTGCTCATGTCACTACTAACTAGCGCTCGCAGGTTAGATTTGACTTAGCGCCCAGTAGAATAGCAGTACGGCTAACTTGCACAAATTGCATGTGACTATAAGTCTAAGGATTAGTTTATCAATTATTTTCATGTTATACTCTGAAGGTACAACTTTTACATCTTTGCATAACAAACATATTCGCTTAATAGGTTTTAGTTCTGTTGAACCAAAGATTTAAATAAAGGTAAAGCCTTATTAGTTTTTAACATTGATTGAATCATACAACTTTATAAGAATGATTTTATACGATGTTGAAAACTCAAGAAATGCTTTATGGAATAGTAAAATAATATATAAGAAGATACATATTGCGTAAGTTAAAGATATACAGATATCGGTAATTTTTATGTGAAATTACAAAGGCTATGTTTTTTAACATTTTAAAACACTTCTCATGAAATTGCTTAGCTTGGAATGAAGTTAATATAGGCTACCATGATTTAAAACGAAACGCAAGTTTGTGTTAGTTGTTTTTTTACATAATAGGGTAGGCCTAGATAAAAGGTAGAAAGTCGAAAACCTGATAATCTCAACACAAATCAACTAGGCCTAATTTACTGATCAGTGGTGAAATAAAAATAGCTGTATATGTAAAATTGACACATTTATTAAATATACAGGTATAGATACAAAATAGCCTATTCCATCTCAAAGATGTTCCACACAAGTTTTAGACATTTTCACAAAATAGTTCAATTATACGACATAACACTAGTTGTCTTCCTATACATAGTAAAATGATCAAGGTACTGATGTATAGTGTCTAATGGTTGATAGACTTCATTCATGCGGTTCTGAAAATACTGAGGAGGAATACTCTGAACACAAGAGCCTAGAAAACCTTGCAAAAACTCTCTCATTAGTTCCCAACAGCTTGCAGGAATTACACAGGGCCGGTACTCAACCTCGACTAACACTCCCTTAAAGTTTTGAGACATAGTAACACTTCCAAGCTTAATCAAGAAATCGCCCAATTCAAACCTTGGTCCTTTTGATTCTATTTTTGTTTGCTTTTTTGATGTATAAAACGGGGATATTTTAAGCATCAGCATATCAAAAAGTTGATCTGCAATGAGAGGGATAGTTTTTGTACCCGTTTCTAGCAAAGAAAAAACAGATGCTGGCTGTTCGGAGTTGTGCAGTACGTGTATGGTCCGTTGCGGTCCGAGCTGAGGAACACTCATGTACGTCTCACAGTCCACTAACATCTGGCCATTCTGTACAGCTCCCAACGCCAACACTCTCTTTGTCAAGAACTCGATTGTTTGAGGTCCTGTGCGACTCTCTGTCATTGGAAATTGTTGAAGAACAGTAACACCCATGGTTTGATCTTATTTCCCTTTTCAATCAAGTATACCAAGTATTGGTGCAATTAACTCACATAGACATGATCAGTTGTCTTCATCCTGAAACAAATATATGGGCTATTGTTAAAAAACGTACTATAACATTAGGCTAATATTAAAAGCTAGCTACTTCAAGGTGTGAAACTGTTTTAGTTAATTTTTTTCGAATTTCCCATATAGGGAATCAGCTGTTACAGTAGAACTCCTGGTAAGACCTGACCCGGGACCGATTTACTTTTTCGTTTTGAGGTCCCTAGGGGACAAAAACAACATTCATTCAAATTCACATATATATATATATGTGTGTGTGTGTGTGTCCGTTAGCACGATAACTCGAGCAAAAATTATCCGATTTTGATGAAATTTGGTGTAAACCTACATTATTTATTCAAACGAGTTCGCTAACCAGCATAATTGGGGTAAAAATAAACATAGACTTAATCAGATTTTGTTTCTACAATGTTACACAAGAAAAAGGTTGTGTTTAGAGACTGGAATAGCAAAGATAATATGTACACCACCCAGCTAACAAAACAATAAGGGGTGCGATTTCTGCCAAGTTAGGCCTACACTAAAATAAAATATGGCAATTAAAAGTGGTTGGTTATACCTTTGAAATAAAAAAAGCAAGCATAAATTGCTATTACTAGCCTACTTATTAATGTAATGAACTAGTGTAATGTTCGTTATTCTTCACTTTGATGTGCTGTGTTGTGGAGAGGCCATACAAAATATCCTTTATTGCTGTAAAACACAGTAACATGCATGGTTTTGAGTCACATTATTCTTGCACATAGATAAAATACAATCTAACACAGCAAATATCCTAACATCCTATTTCTTTCATAATGGTCTACAGAATAAAAACACTTTTTTGTTTAAAAAAGTTTTAGTTTGAATACATCTATCTATCTATGTATTAATTACGTAAGCCGATTCTTTGCGTCGAACGACGGGAGAGGGCTCAAATTAAAGGTCTCGACCCCGTGACAGCGGGAAAAATAGTGAAATTCCCCTAATTTTAACACCAAATTAGATATTACATAAAATGTTCTCCGTAAGAATAGCATTAGAAGCCATTTAGGCCTACTGCTGATTTTTGTTTACTTCAATACAGCTGATCGTGATTTATCATCAGGTCAGTAAGCAATATAATATTACATTTGCATTACATTTGCCAGTCAATTCTGTAATGTACTATATAAAACCAGGGATAACGGTTATTCACCTATAATAATTAAGACTTTTTAGTTACTTTATAGAATGTTGAAATAATTTATTTTACTTTGGAACTTTTGAAGTTTTGGTATTTTTAACGTTTAACTTAACATGAAATAACCACATTGACTAAATAATCAACAATTCATGATTAAATGGTGAACTTCTGATTTGTTTTTATGTCAAAACATATGTTTTTTAAAGATTTATTCTACACTTTCTTTGTAAATTTACTAACATTTTAATTTGAAATGTATTGCAGTGTTTAGTAAATATTTGGTATGAAGTGGAATAACCTCAACGGCTACCTACTCTTAATAACCTCTTAATAACCTGGGAATAAAGATGAAATAGGTTCGTACAGGAAATATATTCGTTTTTTAAGTACTATGACAAATTCCAATGAGCGGAAAAAACAACTATCGTTTGGAGGAGATTTTAAACAGGTAAGTTACAGTACTGTCTTTACGTTCCAAGCAAAAAAGGTTAAAATAAAATAGCCTACCTAGCATGTGGTATATAATAGTAAAGGGAGCATCCATATATAACAGTAAAACCTAGAGGTACCTAGTTTCCTTTTCTTTACGTTTCAAACCAAAAATATGCATGTCCATGCTGATGAAAAGTAATTTTGTGATTGGTTTCAATAACTGGGTAATGGAACCTTAACCAGTCGCAAAAGAGTTTGGAATCAGCCGATGATTCATAGAATATGTAAAAACAATCGCACCTTTAAGAGGAATACCATCACATAAACTTACACTAATTTTTATGTTGATCAGAATAAAAATCTTGGGCTAAGTGTTGACAATGGGATACCTTTAGTTTACACTAATTTGGTTAAGCCTTTTACAAAAGGAGTATAAACTTAGAAATAATAGCTTGGGAGGGATGCCAATTTAGCGGGTATGCCCAGGTCCGTGAAGTTGGCGTACCCATATTAGCGTATCCACTTTTGATCATACCAATCGTTAGTTCATCGTTAGTTCTCGATAGTTCCCAAATTTTTCGTTAGTTCTCAAAAAATAAAAAAGTTATAGCCGATTATAAGTGGGTACGCTAACTTCACACTTCCGGGTTCTAGCACGCGCCATTTTCTGAGGAGAAATGTTTACATCTATATATCAATCGTTAGTTCTTCGTTAGTCCTCGATAGTTCCCAAATTTTTTCGTTAGTTCTCAAAAAATAAAAAAGTTATGAGGCATACAAAGTGGGTACGCTAACTTCACAATTGTACAATTTCCAGCGGGAACAGTTTTTTTACTATAAATGCCTATATCTATATACCAATCGTTAGTTCTTCGTTAGTTCTCGATAGTTCTCCAATATTTACGTTAGTTCTCAAAAAATAAATAAGTTATGAGGCATACAAAGTGGGTACGCTAACTTCACAATTGTACAATTTCCAGCGGGAACAGTTTTTTTACTATAAATGCCTATATCTATATACCAATCGTTAGTTCTCGATAGTTCTCCAATATTTACGTTAGTTCTCAAAAAATAAAAAAGTTATGAGGCATACAAAGTGGGTACGCTAACTTCACAATTGTACAATTTCCAGCGGGAACAGTTTTTTTACTATAAATGCCTATATCTATATACCAATCGTTAGTTCTTCGTTAGTTCTCGATAGTTCTCCAATATTTACGTTAGTTCTGAAAAAATAAAAAAGTTATGAGGCATACAAAGTGGCTAACTTCACAATTGTACAATTTTCAGCGGGCACAGTTTTTTTACTATAAATGCCTATATCTATATACCAATCGTTAGTTCTTCGTTAGTTCTCGATAGTTCTCCAATATTTACGTTAGTTCTCAAAAAATAAAAAAGTTATGAGGCATACAAAGTGGGTACGCTAACTTCACAACTATACAATTTCCAGCGGGCACCGTTTTCTGACTATAAATGCTTATATCTATACACCAATCGTTAGTTCTTCGTTAGTTCTCGATAGTTCTCCAATATTTACGTTAGTTCTCAAAAAATAAAAAAGTTACGAAGCATAAAAAGTGGGTACGCCAACTTCACAATTATAGAATTTCCAGCGGGCACAGTTTATTTACTATAAATGCCTATATCTATATACCAATCGTTAGTTCTTCGTTAGTTCTCGATAGTTCTCCAATATTTACGTTAGTTCTCAAAAAATAAAAAAAGTTAAGAGGCATACAAAGTGGGTACGCTAACTTCACAATTATACAATTTCCAGCGGGCACAGTTTTCTGAATAAAAATGCTTATATCTATATACCAATCGTTAGTTCTCGATAGTTTTCTAATATTGATGTTAGATCTCTAAAAACAAAAAGGTTATAAGGAATACAAAGTGGGCACTCTAACTTCACAACTATAGAATTTCCAGTGGACACAGTTTTCTGACTATAAATGCCCATATCTATATACCAATCTTTAGTTCTTCGTTAGCTCTGGATAGTTCTCAAAAACGTACACTCAACTATTCTTTCAAACATTCACAGCATCGTTCTTAAACAGTTTATTAATACGTTTAAAATTAAATGTGTTGGATTATTAATATATACCGAGAATAAATATTTTTATCTTATAATAAATTAGTTATATTAAAATAATTAATTAAAATTTAGTTTAATGATTTGCAAAAAGGAGGTTTTATTCAAGTTCCATGCCTATAGCCAGCTCCAGACTGTACCCACGCTCGCAAGTAGTATGAGTATCTCCCAAATCTGCCAATCAGCAATCACCTCAAGTAATAGAAATAAAAAATAACTCCTTTGAAACGTCTACCCCACAACATTGCACTCTCAACCCTGCTTTAGTGGAACCTAACCCTACCCCCTACTGTGATGCACAAGAATCGTCAAATTTGTGTATACTAGAACTACAAAGGGAAAATATGCAGCTCAAGGAACAGATTGATACTCTAGACAAGCGACTGAAATGTGTACTTGATCATTCAATCGAATCAGACACTAGGTTAATGGAGTACACGGACCAAATATTCCCTGTACCTGACTACCAGACTAAGCCTATTAATCCAAGTGTGATAGATTGTTCTGTGCAGTGCGAGCCCTCGAAAACCGAAGCTGCTACATCTACCTCTGATCTTACCTCGTTCACAGGAAACTGTTCTAACAATGAAAACTCTTCTAAAGAGAACAAAATTGGCCCTTTGTTATTGCACAAAAAATTGGTTGTTTCAGAATTACTTAGTAACAATTGGCTTTCAGATGGGACAATTCAACCTTACTTGGACATGGTGAATGAGAGATTCTTAATTGAAACAACAAGTATCATAGTAAATCCACTAATAGTTCATGCAATTAAGAATTCACCAGATGCGTTGCTTTTTTTAGAACCACTAAGTTTAAAAAATAAAAATGTTGTGATAATGCCAATCAATGACTCTGAGGAGGTAAGCCAAGGAGATAGTGGGTCTCATTGGAGTGTTTTAGTTTTGGACAGACCTAAGAATAGGTTTTATCATATTGACTCTTCTAATGACCATAATCTCTCCTCTGCTAAGAAGGTTACAGGAAAGCTAACTGAATATCTAGGTGTTGACACAAGCTTATCTTCAATCAAGGGTCCACAACAACCTAACGGATTTGTCTGTGGAGTTTTTTGCTGCTGGGTCGTAGAGGCATTGGTTCATGATATAATCACATCTGGATCAATTGATATACACTTCATCCAAAATATGAGCCTGTCAAGAGAGGAAGTGATAACCAAACGCTCACTCATCTCTTATTTTCTCCTCAACCAAACAACATCAAAAAAGGAGCTACTTCACACATTAATGATTAAAAAGGATAAGAAGTTACTTCATTCTAGTGAACCAGGAAAAGAAGATGTAAGGGACCCTA